GGGGGGGGGGGGGGAAGGAAACTTTTTATCATTAACATAAATATCGTCTCGAAATCGTTCATCGATTGAGTCGAAAATCTGTTGTGGATTGGTAGGTATTTGTTATATAGCCATTAGGACTGTTCCAAAGTATGAATCTTTTGGTCAAGAGGTCCGATTTGTCATTCTGTCAATTTTATTGCTGCAAGTGTTTGCTGGATGTCTCTCTCGTAATTCAGCTCAACGATAACTCGTGACTTGTATGAGCATGAGCTCGTGAATAAAAACTCGTTGGTATTACGCTCGCATTACGGGTTGGTACGCTAAACGATGTCGTTCATGCGTGCTCCTTACCACAGCACGGAACGGTCTCACAAACGACAAAATTTCCTCGGAGAGTGATACTGTCAACAAATCAACGCGTAATTAGTCCAGTTGTTTCATGAAATGGCGCAATTTTCTTTACGCAAGATGTCGTTACTATTCATCGGCAGAATCGGCTGTTCCGTTCTGCATTCATGCAGAATTTGGGACGTACCGTTATATTATCAACGTTGAAGTTTATACTTTTCGAGGCTTTTGTGTAATTGGATATCACATTACCGATGCATTTGCTGTGACTTAATCTTAGAGATTGTACATTAAAAAGATATGACATCGAGTATCGGCGGTGTCTCTAAACATTTATGTAATATCTGCACAAGAGGATATGTTGCTCGTTACATTTATTAAAAATTCGAAGAATTATGTATTCCAAGTTCTTCTCCACCTCTATAATTATACAACAACTTTTCTGTGGAAAACGCATCGAACGTATTCCATATGTTCGTCACATCGCACAACATTTTCCATACTTTATTACGAAAATGTTTTTCTCTTATTTCTCTTTCACTTCATTTGTAGTTGCTTCTTTCTTGTCGCGCGTTTCGGTATAATTTCCTCTCGCTATACGAGAGAAAGATTGTCTGATTTTTAGCTAGACATTTTAAAAACTACGAAATGTGTCTGAAATGCATCTCCGTTTTCGTTTTCAAACGAAAATGTTATAAATTGTGTAATAAGCATTGTACAAACGTTTTTAACGTTATTCGCTCTGCTTATTAACCGCAGGCGGATGTTGGTTTGTTTATTATAAAAATACTTGAACCAAAGTACCAAAAGTATAAAATTTTAATTGTTATCTCTTTCGATCTGTTCCTGCGATTATTAGCATCAAAGTTCTGGATCAAAATCCCAGATACCGTAGTTAAAAACGGGATACATATTATCTATAGTGCGAGCAACGCGCGTTCGATACAATAGGAGAAATGATACGAGTAGAGAGTACAGAGAGAAGTACGAAGGAGTCATCGCGCCTAGTCGGAAACTTTACATTTGTTCTATAATGGTTGTTTTAGGTACTTTGGTAGCATTGACGAAATGTTTACAATGAATATTGTGTTATTAAATAGAAATTGAATAATTCGAATCGAGCGAAATTACGTCGATTAATCGAAAACCCTTTGTTTATCAGGGAAATCCTCCTTAGAGCGAGAAATGTGCCTGACATCTGATTGCGATATCATGGTAAAACATAAGCTTGCGCTCATGGTCGCAAGAATGTTATGTTAGCAATGACAATATATGTGTTAGTTCGATGTTGCATCGTATTGTGTTCCTTATCTATACGTATACATATTCGTCTATGTGTGTGTGTGTGTATACACACACACACGCACACGTAAGGACGCGTGTGCGTATGTATGTATGTATGTATGTATATATATATATATATATATATGTATACATATACACATATATAATATATAATTCGCCTGCAGAAATCCGTGTGCACGATCATCGGTGCGATACTTTCATCGATTGCTGAGCCGATCGTTTTGTCGTTAGCACTTTTTTTCAATACCGTTT